GCACACACATACATCCCGGCAGGCAAAACATTCGTGCATAAAAGAAAAGAAAAGGAGGGAATATAGGAAGAATGAATTTTGCCTTTCAGTCCTTCATGACTAACTTAACTAACTTAACCAACCTAAGACATCTCTTACCCCTCTGTCTCCCACTCCTCACCTATTACTTTCTTATTTATCTATGTTTATTTACTTAAGACAGGGTCTCTCTATGTAGTCCTAGCTGTCCTAGGACTCTATGAGACCAAGCTGACCTAAAAGTCATAGAGATCTTCCTGCCTCTGCCTCCTGAGTGCTGAGATTAAAGGTGTATACTACTAAGGATCTGAATAAAATTATTTTCAAGGGCTGGAGAGATGGCTCAGAGGTTAAGAGCATTGGCTGTTCTTCCAGAGGACCTGGGTTCAATTCCCAGCACCCACATGATGGCTCACAACCACCCAAAATGAGATCTGGTACCCTCCCTCTTCTAGCCTGGAGGGATACATGCAGACAGAATACTGTATACATAATAAACAAATAAATATTTTAAAAATTATCTTCAAAATAAAAACATATACATACATACATACATATATACATACATACATACATGGGCAGTGGTGGCAAGCAGAGCTCTGAATGAGGCCAGCCTGGTCTACATAGCAAGTTCCAGGATAACCAGGGCTTTTACACAGAGAAACACTATCTTGAAGAAAGGAAAGAGAGAGGAAGGGAAGAGGAGGGGAGAGGAGGGAGGAGAGGGGAGAGAAAAGGAGAGGAGAGGGAAGGGAAGGAATGAAATTAAAAGATCAGTCTGAAAAATCCAACAAATGACTAAAATCGCTTGCTTTCATAAGCAAAGACAGTGAAAAGGAAACACACAAGAATTGAAGGGTTCAAGTCCTGGAAAAGCAATAAGCACCAAGGAATAGCTGTATAACTCTTCCCTTTAGAAACCCATGGGAGAACAGATGCAATAGGATCTTAGATTCCCAGAGAGAATACAGGAACTAAGTGAGAACACAAGCCAAGTAAAACCAGACAAGAAATGTATTTTTAATGTGAATGACAGATATCTACCAATCTATCAGGCTATTTACTCTAGCTCTGCAGAGACTTAAAATCTATCATAATAAAGAACTAAAAAAGAAAACAATTCACAAAGACTCAACATAGTACTTACTAGAACAAGTGAAGCTCTTCTTCCTTTAATGAAGCCCCTCAGTTTGGAGCATCCTTTCCTGTGTTGGTCCACTTACACTCACTCACTCACATAAACACACTACATTTACCCTCAGGGTGTATGCTGTACATATTGCCCACAGCCTTGCTTTCCTATGATGGCATCCTTAGCATCCTCTTGTTGGCTGAGAACTACATTAAGCTTGAATATGCCATAATTTATCAACTCAATTCCCTCATTGAAGAAAGACAAAATGTCCCCTATTTCTAATGCCTTTTCACTGTTGCTGTTAATTATCTACATTTTACTAATTGGATAAATTTTTCTGATGTTTAGAAATATGTACAGTTACAAAATGCAAAACAAATGAACATCAAAAGAATTCAAAAATCAAACAAATTCACATTAACAACATAAATTTTATTTGGTGCCTCACTTAAATATTAATTTACAGGTGGATGCTATTGTTGGAAAACCATGTGTCTGTACAAGTATTGAATGTCTGACAACACTTTTACTCAATTAGATTACTGAAAATTCTTGCATTCAATGGGACTTACTTGACAAGGATATTTACACAGCAGATTTGACTCTAATTTTTTCTAATTATTATTCTGAAATAGGGTCTTACATGTAGGGCTGGCTATCCTGGAATTGGCTATATAGACCAGGTGGCTTCCAACTGAGATCCACCTGCCTCTGACTCTGAAGTGCAGGGATTAAAGGTGTGAACTGTCATGTCTTGCCTGGACTTAGCTCTTTTCACATTACACTGCCATGATTAAATTTGGCACCAAGTCAGAAATGTAAATAAGGAAGTTACAATCTCATGAAAGTAAATTATTATAACATGACCCATAGACACATATGTCAAGTTTATGATTCTCAAAGAAAAGTCACAAGAAAAATATATATTATTTGACTCCTTAGGAAAATCTGCCAGAAGAAAATGGCTGGCTTTGCTGGGAGTGGTGGTGAATGCATCTGATCCCAGCACTTGGGAGGCAGAGGCAGACAGATCTCTGTGAGTTCAAGGCAAGCCTAATCTACACGCTGAGTTCAAGAATAGCCAGAGCTACCCTGTGAAACCCTGTCTTAAAAAAAAAAAAAAAAAAAAAAAAAAACAATAAAATAAAACAACAAAAAAAGAGAAAGTGGCTGGACATTTTTCCATTTCAGCTTCTTGCATTTTAAACATAATTTCTTCTAGTGCTTTTGAGAATTTATTTTTTAATTTTTAATGTTTGATCTACTCAGAAATTATTTTAGTAAAACAAAGTATAGATTCCTAAAGTAGACTCAAATGCAGAATATAATTTCCTAATTTTCTGAGTCAAAATTCAAAGTAAGAGGTTTCATAAGCTATTTCTATGTATAAGAGTCTATTAGCTGCCAAGTATCAGAATTTCTAAGATGACACACTTTATGTGCACAATAGGCAAAAATACACTTGAAAACCAGAAGCAAATATACTGAATTGAAGCAAAAGAAAGACAGTTCTGGAGAGTGAGGCAGGAAAATCATGAGTTCCAGGCCAGGCTAAGCTTTACAATAAGACCCTGTCTCAAAAATAACCACCACTAATAAGAACCCCAGCCCCTCAGCAAAATGATGCATTCCAAAATAAACCTAAAGAGTTTTGACATAACAAGTCAAAGAAGAGATCAAGATTCCAAAGCTATTCAAGATTGCAACCTTTAGTAATACAGGAATAATACGGTACTACTGAGAAATCTTATAAATGCCTAAAAACAAGCAGCCAGTGTGTATGAGAAGTAACTACAATAAAAATAGGCAGTGAAGGTGCCTGAGCCTGGAAGAGTCATGCAAGCCTCGCCTGGAAGCAGTCAGTACAGAATACTTAGACCCACACATGCTAGATAAGGGATCTAGACTGAGGCATCATGCCATCTGCACGTGCTGAGGGGCTTCCTGAGATTCGGAGTTCTAAGATCAAAACTGGGAAGTGGGAGAGAGGAAGAAAAAGGGGAAAAAAGTTATAAAAACTAGTTGGAAAAAAATAAACTAATAAATACAGATGGTTCAGTGATTAAGAGCATCTGCTGCTCTAGAAGAGGACACAATCACAGTTCCCAACAACTACACCATTTGGCTGACAACCAGCACTAGGGGGATCCAATGCCCTCTTCTGGCCTTTGCTAGCACCCAGAAGCATGTGCATTGACATATACATGAATAAACATAAAATGAAATAAAAGGGATGGAGAGATATGGCTCAGTGGTTAAGAGTGCTGGTTGCACTTCTTGAGAACCTGGGTTCAAGTCTCAGTACATACATGGCAGCTAGCAATCATATATACTCCAGTTCCACTGGATCTGATGCCCTCTTCTGCAGGTACTGCACACAAATGGTATACTGACAAACATAAAGGCAATACACTCATACACATAAAGGAAAATATTTAAAAAGTATTATTAAAAAGTAAATATTTAAAAAGTAATATAATAAAAGTCTCTAAAAGTGAACTAATAAAGGATTCTGCTACTCATTGAATATTAAGAGTATATATGAAAAACAACTACATACCATAGGGAAACAGTCACTAGCACTTGAACATGCTTGTGGGTGTGCTCTTCATAGATATTACACAACCAGACACTTTTCTAAACTAGAGACATACTCATGGGTTAGACAGACAAGGTATCTGGCTCTAATAGGAAGACACAATGTATACATTAAGAATAAATGAATGTTGGGCATGTGACACATGCCTTTAATTCCAGCACTCAGGAAGCAGAAGCAAACGGATCTATATGAGTTCCAGGTCAGCTAGGGCTACATACTGTGATCCAAAAAATGTAAATGACCAAAAAAGGACTGGAGACATAGCTCAGTGGTATATCACTTGCCTAGGAAGTACAAGGCTCTATGTTCAATTCCTAGAACTCTAAAAATTAAAAAAAAATTTAAATAACCAAACAAGTTAATTTCATTAGAAATTAATACTTAAAAGAGTTATAAGAGAGGCAGACTAAGCCAGGCTTGGCAGCACATACATGCCTTTAATCTCACACTTGAGAGGCAGAGGCACGCGTATCTCTGATTTGGGGACAACCTGGTCTACAAAGTAAGTTCAGGAGAGCCCGGACTGTTACACAGGAAAAAAAGAAAAAAGAAAGAAAGGAAGGAAGGAAGGAAGGAAGGAAGGAAGGAAGGAAGGAAGGAAGAGAATTATAAAGAAATTAAAGGCACTGTCATGCTATGTTGATAGAAGCTTTAGAAAAAGGATTTACTGTATGCCTAACATGTGAACTGAGACCTGTAGGTCAAGGACCAATCATTTCAAGAGATGGGGGCAGTGTGTACTTGCAGAGAGATCACCAAAAGTAAAGGTTCTAAGATAAGAATAAGCCCATCCAGTTCCAAGAACAGAAAGAGCAGTACGGATGGATGGAGAGAAGAAAGAAGACAAGGAAGAGATGAGGTCAGAGCACATGGGACCTCCAATATCAAATTGAGAATCTCATTTTAGTCAAATACAATGAGAAGAGGCATGGTATGTTAAATACAATACTCACAAGCACACGTTCATCTTACAAAGAGTATTAAGTGTCAGGTGGAATATGGACTGCAGCTGAACACTTAATATATTCTGACTTCTAAACAAAGATGTCTATGTAGAGTCTATCATTATTTCAAAAACATTGGCAAAAATGAGGAACAAACTAATAGTGACAATTATAAATTACATAGTTAGGACAATGTACAAAGTAAAAACCAGACTTGAGCCTATTCTTCCTATGCAAGGAAACCAGTGTAGATAGTAACAATGACAGCAGCATTATTAGGGGATGTAAGATACCTGGGCCTTACCAAGCTGGTTCTTCATCCCCATGAGCACAGAGTTCATGTGCGCTTTGGATGCATAGAGCTTGCTCACAGCCTTCCTTGACCTGATCATCTCCTTGGCCAGAACCACACAGACATCCTTTTGGCCCTTCTTGGCTGCATCTTTCACAGACCGTTTTACTTTCTCTTCTTCTCTTTGGATATCTAAATTTAGAACAGAACATCAAAAACCATGGGTAGACGCTGGAGAGATGTTTCTGCAGTTAAGTATTTGCTTCTCAATCCTGAAACCAGAGTTCAGATCCTAGGACCCACAGCAGGGTGCTCAGAATGCCTCTAACTTGAGCTCCAAGGAATCTGACACCCTTTTTGGAGTCTTTGGATGCCCACACACATATACATACATACAAACAAACAAACACACAAGGGAGGAAGGGCAAATCAGGTTTGGTAGCACTCAAACTTTTTTTTATAATCTAAATGTATCTGTAAGTAGAAAATTATCACAGGATATAAATAATGTATGAGTATTTATTATTTTCTTGAACAAGACTAACATAGTTTGACAATGAACCTATCTATACTAAGGAGCTTCAGATTGCATTGTACATGCATCCCAGAGCTAATTCTCACAATGAGTATGCAGCTTTCTGACAAGTATGGGAGTACAACCTCTAAACAGTAATTGCTATAACGGGAAAATCTGAACATATTAGAGCACTGTATCAGCATCAACTAGAGTTTAGACAAGCTTTTGAATTTTAAGACTATGGTAAAATACAAGTTACAATTTACCATGCTAACCATTCCCAACTGTACAATTAAATAATGATCTGGACCAGCAGATGTTCCTTTTCTACACACGTGGGCCTCAGGCTATTATTGGCTGGGTCAAGCGTGCATTCCTAGTTTTGAGAAGGAACTCTGTTCTTTTTCTGTACTATCAGGGCCTCTGAGAAAGCCTCAGCTCATGAGTCCAGCTCTCAACACATTCATATGGCTGGCTGTACAACCACCACTACATTCCATCCTTAGACACAAAATCTACATCCATTAACTCCCCATTCTCCCCTCTTTCCAGTCCCTGGCAAGTAGCATTCCACTGTCTTATAAAGTGACTATTTTTAGTTACCTTGTAGACGGAGTTTCTGTTTTGCCTGGTATCAGAGCTGTTTGGCCCCAAATAAACACAGAGATTACAAACTGTTTAGCCGATGGCTAGGCTTCTTATTGGCTAGCTCTCTCTTAATTATTAACCCATTTTTATTAAATGATGTATTGCCACATGGTCTTATCTTACCAGAGAATGCTCCAGCACGTTACTCTTTCATCGGCTACATGGCACCTCCCTGGCAGCTTCTTTTTGTTCTCTCCCCAGAATTCTCCTTGTCTTGTAGCCCTGCCTATACTACCTGCCTCACTACTGGTCAATCAGTGTTTTAGTCATCAACTGCATGCATGCATGCATGCATACATACATACATACATACATACATACATACATATATATATATATCCCCATAACCTTTTGAATGTGGAATAGAGCAACATTGGTACTTTTCTGATTTTACTTAACATATGTTCTCTTTATCCACAATATAGCATGTAACTATTTTCTGTTGTGTAACATACTTATTATTTTTAGTCTTGTCAGCTAGTATGACTAATTCTGTCAGGGATATTTATTTACAAATATCTCTTCAAGACCCTGCCTTTAGTTGTTTGTGAATATACCCAAAAGAAGAATTGTGGAGGCATATGATAATTCTTTGAGGGATGGGGAGCACAGGGTCTCTACATAGACTGACCTCAAACTCCCATAGATCACAATTGCTTGGATTAAAAGTGTATGCTACCATGCCAGACCTGATAGTCCTGTTTTTAATTTCCTCAGGAGCTACTCTACACTTTCCAAAGTGGTTGCACTGTTTTATGTTCCTATTAATGGTATACAAGAGTCCTAATTTCACCAAATCCTTGCCAACACATGCCCTTTTCTGTTTGTTTTGTTTTGTTTGGGGTGGTTGTTTTTTGTTTTGTTTTTGCTTTTGGTAACAGTTACCTGTTAGGTACAAAGTAGTAAGTATCTCATTGTGGCTGCCTTACAGTTCCTTAATGACTAATGATCTTGAGTGGTTTCTCACTGGTATAGTCTTCTTGAAGAAATGTCTCTTCAAAGACTTTCCCTATTTTTGAATAGTTTTGAGCTTCAGGCGTTCTCTGTATACTCTTATTAGAGATATATGACTTACAAATATTTTCTCCCATTATACAAGGTACTTTGCATTTTTATTTATTTTTGTTGTTGCTGTTTGAGACAGGGTCTCTCTACATAGTCCTGGCTGTTCTGGAACTCACTATGTACACAGGTCACAGGAGCTCTCCTGGTTTTGTTGTTTTTTTTTTTTTTTTTTTTTTTTTTTTTTTTTTTTTTGGTAGTGGAGTTTGGACAGTTTGTGTTATTATCTTCAATTTCTTTGATCTCCCTTTTTATAGTGTCTAATTTGCTGTTGTGCATTTAGTCAAGTTTCCCTTTACTTTACGAGTTACACTTTCTTTTCCACATCTTCTATTTAGGTCATTTTATTTATGGCTTTGCTTTAAATTCTGTAGCATATTTACTATCCTTTTTTCCTCAATTGCTTTTTTGTGGTCTATTTTTATTGTTTAATTTTTTATTTTACTCATGTGGATCAGTTTTTCTACTTCCCTGCAGTGGGCATTTCACTGGATTCTTGTCACTGAAAATGCCTCACTGTTGGGTGTCATAACTTTGTAGTCCTTTAAAAAGCACTAAGTTTTATTTTGACTGGCAACTAAGTCACTTGCAGATAAACTTCAAGACCTGTTCATAAGCTTTCCTCATATGATGCATTTATTCTTACCTTAATACTAAATGTGGCCCTTCTCCAACCTATATTGAATATTCCCAGATTTTAACAAAGTTTCTTTACAGTCTTCGCTAACAACCTTTCTTAAATGTGGGAATTGTTCAGCTTAAAACTCCCTGGTAGTTGTTCTGTTCCCATTAATCATTCTTTGTCTAGCCTCTACAAATATCAGTATAATGATATCTTGTTTGTGCTTTAACAAATAAAGCTTTCGTGAAAATCAGAGGGCGGTGCTAGCCACTAGTTAGCCACAAAGTTCTGGAGGTCTGTACAGACAAACAGGAAGTGATATGGCTGGGTGGAGAGAAGAAGTGATAAGGCAATAGGAGTCAGGAGCTCAGTCTCTTTTCGGCTGGGAAGTTGAGGAGGTAGGTGTGGCTATGGCTTGCTCCTTTGTCTCTCTGATCTCTCAGCATTTCTCCCTACATCTGACTCTGGGTTTTTATTATTAAAACCTATTAGAACTTGTGCTACATATCTCTCTAAGTAAGCACAGATCAGTGTTCAGCCAAACCCAGATCCCAAGGAGATATCTGGAGTTCTTTCCCTGGTTATATTCCTTTTCTCTATTTCTCTGCATCACATATTTTAGCCTTGCTCACCCCTAACATCCAAGTCTTCAACTCAATGAGACCACCATGCTCTTTCTGAAATCCTTCCCATATGCCACATTTAAAAAAGTATTCCTAGACAGAAAATCAAGAGTATGAATTGTTCTATTTCTGTTTCATGTCTTAATACACATCGTCATCTGTCCAGTGTGGGAAGTGGTTGTTTCATAGCTGCCTTGTTCAAACTTTCATTTACAATTGAAGTCGAAGTGTAAGATCAAAATCAATTATTGAAGCTGGGAATAGAATTCTCATCCCTAATTCTTTTTTAAAGTTGTGATACTGTAAAACTAGACATTTTCCTGGTTTTAATCTTTTCTATTCATGAAAGTGTTTTTAAAAATCCGTCAAGAAGAAAGAGGATAGTAGAGCCCCTATAAAAGGAGAGTCAGGGGAATATTCAGGTTTAAGGAAGGATACAGCAGGACCAGAGAGGAGTACAGGGCATTAGCCAAAACTAAGGCTGAAAAAAAACTCTTAGGGAAACTACTTTGCAAGCTAATCAGGCAGGGCATGGCACTAGCCTTTAATCCCAGCACTTGGGAGGCAGAGGGAGGCAAATACGTTAGATTGAAGCCAGCCTGGTATACAGAGGGAGTTCCAGGACAGCCAGGACTATATAGAGAAACCTTGTCTTAATATGCAACAACAAAAATATTTAAGGCATTTAGATAATGGGCATGGATGAGCAATACTTCTCACAGAAAAAATGGATTAGTCAATAAAAATCTCAGTGCCAGGCTTGCTTGTGGTAACAGGAAGATCCCAGAGGCACTAAAAACAACACAGGCTATCTTTTTGGCTGTCTGCCAGAACTAGGATGGTAAGACCTTATGTCTGAGGCATGACATTCTGGCTAGAAGACATAGCTGGAATTGACCTGAAAACTTCCTCCCTATAGGTTGGCTTCAAGTGATGGAAAGTGCTACACAGGCCACTGTGGAGTGGGAAGGAAGCCATCAATATTATTATCCAGCAGCAATCCTGCATACTACAATACTAACCTATTGGGCTAGACATTGTCAATAGTTTAACAGTGGGGTAACCAATAGCTTTTGGGTTGGATCTGACATCTGATCCATTGGAGGAAATTCATATCTGGTACTTTAAATCTGGTTCCCATGACTTAGGATGCCTAAGCCCTACAGTGAAACTTCCTACTGACGGGCTGCTACTTGATCATGTTGATAGATAGGTGCTCCCTCTACCTTGGCCTCATAGCTTGGAACTCAAAACTAGTCAAAGTGCTGAGAATAAATGACTATGGAGTGTTCAGGCCTCAATGGGACAGCTATTTCAACATCCTATCCAAAGCTCAGGGAACATCTCAGAAAGGGGGTGGAAACAATGTGGAGGAGTACCATGAAATGTCTTCTGGACATGGCACGGCTATCACACACATAAACTCACTACAGCTATGGATGCCTGCACAGACCTGTACAAAGTCAAGCCAACAAAGCCAGTCAGCATTCCAACAGATGGTACTAATTGGACTTAATGGATTACAACGGGTGTGTGGCATAGATATGAATATGAAGTGGGAGAAGATGATAGGGACTGCCTGAGGTGACTGAGGGGGTCAGGGGTGAGTATAATCAATATATGCATTGCTCATATGTATGAAATTGTCCAAATATATAAAACTTAAAAAAAAACTATAGTTTAAGCATTACCATTTCTTAGACACTTACCTTAATTTCAAACAGTACTAAAAAAAGTAACTTTCACTCAGAAATGTATTGTTCCCAATTTAAAGTTATGTTGAAACTTGCAGAGAGTAGAGATGATGAAATTGCATTGTTTTCTTATGCACAATTTAATTAAAATTCATAAAAGACTTTTGTTTACAAGCACCAACAGTTTTCTCTTAGATAAGTTTACATGTATGGGCTAAAATGAAATATAGCATTAGAATATAGAAAAGGAAACATAGAAATAGCAATTACCTCTTATTTGCCTGTCAACAACTCTCATTTCCTTTCTGATCTTCAATGACCACTCATTGACCTGGGGAAAATTTTAGATAGGGAATTATCAGAAAAGCAAACACTTCTAGCAAATTTTGCACATTTTAAAGAATTCTACATTAAGTTTAGACATAATTTTTTGATTTTTAATTTTGAAGAAAGACCTTTAGCCTCCCCCTCCCCCTTTTTTTCTTTTTAACCAGCTGTTTTATTTGCATTAAGAAGGCACTCCAAACTGTTTAAAGGCTGGCAGGGAGGGAAAGCACTGTACAGAAGACTCTGTGGTACACAGGTGCATGGGCAAAGATAGTCTTAGGACATCTGAAGATTTTCATGGTTCACACATAATTATTTTAAAAACTACTCTGCCTGTATACTGGGAACTCATCTTTTTATATGCTATTTTTCTTCCTATCAGGTTAAAACCTCTGAGGCACTAAATGTGGCCAACTGGAGACAGTAGTGTAGGTAACTAATAACTAGCACATTCTCATGCAAGTGAACTGTTTACCAATTCTTCAATTTTTTCAAAAACTACTGAAAGAAAATCTGAGGTGCCAAGCTTATGGATCATTAAAAGTAAAATTTATATTAAATGACTGTATGTTTTTGGCACATGACTCAGGAGAACTGAGTGACTCTGATCCTTCAGTGTCCTTCCATTACCAGCTACCTACTAAAAAGTTTTACAGTACTTAAGTCTATTTTAAAAACTCTATAGAAGAACAGAGCACTGAACCCTGTTACATTCACCCACAGATACATGAATTAAACTGCACTTAAAATTTCCTATCATTAGAAGATATATTTCTATTAAATTTCAAGCTTAACATTTAATAGCTACTTACCAAAATCGGCAAAATATTTACAATGATGCCACTGAAAGAAATATTTCAACACTAAGGAGCCTGGCATGAACAAGAGTGCTTATACCCCAATGCTGGGGGACAATATAGGTGGATCCCTGGAGTTCACTGGCCAAGTCACCCTAGCCACAATGGTGGGCTTCAGGTTTAATGAGCTTTTAGGTTTAGTCTCCAGACAGAAAGTGACAAAACAGGACACTTGAAATCCTCTTCTGCCATATGCACAGGCTTAGCATACATACAGACACACACACACACACACACCAAACTATAAGACAAGGCAATTTTTAAATTATTAATCATGTTAGGTTTATGTACATTTTAAGTGATATTCATATAATATGCAATTAATCATATTCAAGTATATAACTGATGGGTAAAATTTAGCACAACTTGCCATCGATCCTTAAAACGTTTTCATCACCTTGAAACTGTAGGGAGCCGTTCCTGCATTCTCCATTACAATGATGGTGCCTGCAGGCACCAAATGTAAATTATTTCGCAGGCGCTGGGTAATTTCCATTCCTTTGATCTCTGCCTATCCTGTGGCTCATTTGGCCTGAGGAGCTGAAGCCATTCAAAGGGTAACACGTCCCAGGCGGCCGAGGCCAGCCTTTATTAAGGAACGGGATTCTTGGGCCGGGGTCTCCGCTCTGGTAAGCTTATGCTCTCCCACTCTCAAGATGCATTAAAGCTTTCCTGCAGAAGGATCCGAGTGTCCTGCGTGATTCTTGCCGGCGAGAACATATAGCGCGCGGGACATCTGGTGCCGAAACCCGGGAAATTTGTTAACATCTCCGGCACTGCGGAGACCCCTTGGCTACAAGGCAGATTCAGAACTGCAGGGTGGTAAATTCGGAGAGGTATGTCTTTTCT